GCGAATTACTCAGATTATGGTCGAGGAAAAAAAAATTCGGACATGTACCGATCTGACAAGGTTGTAGTACAAATCTATGGGTACCGGGCCGAGGTTGTAGTACAAATCTATGGGTACCGGGCCGTGTCAGCCCGGCACCCAAACTTCATCCAATTTTTTTTTTTTTTGACTTCTGACATCGCTGCCGGGCTATGTCAAATTTTTTTTAAAAAAAGCTGTCGACAAGGTCTGATGGCTGCCAGGCAGAGCGGTTGAACAAAGCTGTCAAATTGTTTAAAAAGCTGTCAAATTGTTTTTTTTTAAAAAGCTGTCAAATTGTTTTTTTAAAAAAATGCAAAGCGGTTTAACAAAGGCAACTTATTAACAAGATGTCTATTTTGACATCTATATTGGGGATGCATTGAAATAATCGACTTATGCAAAGCGGTCCATCAATTAGTTGTATATAATTAGTTATGCATTTTTTTCTTTTTTTTGCCTATTTTGTTTTTATATTGCACAACAAATTTTTTTAAAAAATTAAAATTTGCTAACGCTCCACTATCTAAATTGAACAATAGGTTACGTCTACGGTGGAAAGTTCACTTTTTTGCGCATAAGAAGCAGAAGCAATGCAAGAAGGCCAACTCTACTATGTGGAGACGGACGAAGAAGTATATTCGGATACCGGAGAAAGCGAATTATGCATGGGTGAAAATATTATATATTTTAAAATCACAATAAAAGTTCTCTTAAAAATTTATTCATCATCTAATGTCCAATACTTATATTTGATAAATTAAAATAGTTAATTAAATATTCTATTATAATATAAGTAACTATATGACATTGAGTCGAATGAATAATATTTTTTCTTTTTTTGGCATTTTAACTAGTTGTCTATTAAGTTTCAATTGAAATAAAGATTTTATAAATATTTAAATTATTCAATAAAATTATCAATTTAAGATGAACATAAATATAAATACATTAAATTGTATTATTGAAATATTTAATTTAATATGAAGGAAAGACAAGATGAAATGGCAAGAAATTTTTTTAAAATTCATATAAGTACTTTATATTAGTAATCACCTTTATTTATTATTATAATTATAATACCTGATCATAACCGATTGAAACTCATATCCTAATACTATTTACAACTAAAGTTACTGTATACTCAAATTAAAATTTTCTTTTTTGCACTAAATTTTCTTTTATATTTACGCCTCAATTATTTCAAATATGAAATTCAATTAAAAAATAAAATGTACCACAATATTTGTTTTGACATATACAAAATTCACTAAATAATTTTGAAAATTTCATCCATTTTCCAATACAACAATTTCGCCCTTATTTTTTATCCAAAATTTACGCCGCCTAACGTACTAAATCCGACTATTTTTGGAGTTAATTAAATTATATTTCAAAATTCGAACAATAGAACTAGATGAAAATAGATTTGTTAAATCAATAATTACTTCTATACGATGTTAAACTAAACAAAGGCTGTTTTAAACAAAAAAATCTCATTCATTTTACAATAAGATGCAGGTATCAAATTGTTGAGAAATTATTTGTTAAAATTGTTATATAATTTTTAATAGACTACATAATTTTATAAATATAAATTTGTTGTGCAATATAAAAACAAAATAGGCAAAAAAATGAAAAGAAGAAAAAATGCATAACATGACATTGTCAAATTGTGAATACACCCAATAGCGATAAGCATTATAATAATAAAAGATGAAAATAGCGCTAAATCCCCATATTCAAATATTTGAAATTGTAAAACATGCACTGGAAATGATCTGCTACGTACTAACTTTTTCTTTTCGTTCAGTTTTTTTGCTTCACGGGAGCTGCCAGCCAATTTTTTTTTTTTGGTCCACAAGCCTGCTGACCACTTTGCATTTTTTTTTTAGGGAAAATGACCTGTTTCATCCCTCACATTTCGTAAAAATATTCTTTTTGTCCCTCACATTTAAAACGAAGCAAATTGGTCCTTCACATTTAAAAACTGAAGCTTTTACATCCTAGAAATAAACTCTCAGTTGTGAATCAAACCATCTAACAACCCGGTTACAAATTTTGGGGTAGAATTGGTAGATTACTCGCAAAAACATATTTCTAACAAATAAATTAAAGTAATTAAAAAATCTTAATTAAAACTCATTTGTTTCTTCAAAAGAACGAAATTGTGCTAAAGCTCTCAAGCACTAAACCCTTAGTGCAACAAAACTGAGGAATTTGTCTAAGGGTTTAGTGCTTGAGAGCTTTAGCACTATTTTGTTCTTTTGAAAAAGCAAATGGGTTTTAATTAAGATTTTTTAATTATTTTAATTTATTTGTTGGAAATATGTTTTGTGAGTGATCTACCAATTCTACCTCTAGAATTTGTAACCGGGTTGCTAGATGGTTTGATTCACAACTGAGAGTTTATTTCTAGGATGTAAAAGTTTCGGTTTTTAAATGTGAAGGACCAATTTGCTTCGTTTTAAATGTGAGGGACAAAAAGAATATTTTTACGAAATGTGAGGGATGAAACAGGTCATTTTCTCTTTTTTTTTTAAAACAATTTGACTGGCTGCCGGGCTCCATCAGACCTTGTCGGCTACCGGGCATTGTCAGCCCGGTTGCCGACAGCCTTTTTGAAAATTTTTTTTTTTGCTGCCGGGTTGTGAGCTCGGCAGCGGTGTCAGAAGTAAAAAAAAAATTGGATGAAGTTTGGGTGCCGGGCTGACATGGCCCGGTACCCATAGATTTATACCACGACCTTGTCAGATCGGTACATGTCCGAACTTTTTTTTTTCTCGACTATAATCTGAGTAATTAGCCCCTTGTGTCGAGAAATTTGATTTTATTTGACAAAACAATTTGGAAAATAGTTTTTTTTCCTAGATATTTATCAAGAAAGAGCATAACATACTATGCACTGATTTTGAGTTTTCAACATCATTCGTATCTTAATATGAAGCTTCATATATAAGGTAAATATGCAAATCCACCTCTGGAGAGAATTCGACATGCTACTTTCTTGGTCAATCTTGTTTTCTTTCTGTGAATGAGAGTATATAGCCATGAGAAGTGAAACATAAGATGTTCCAATGTTGTCTCCAAAGAGGTGATCTATGCGGATGACTAAGCACCTTTCTTTAGAAGTACATTTTCATCCCTATTTGAAAGGTGAGTTTTTTAGAAGTCTGTCTAAAACTTTACTGTAACTTATTGTAAAAGTTTTTTTTTTAATTTTTTGAAATGTGTAAATTTTTGAATATTTTGAGAAATTTTTTAAGGTTACTGTAGTTAATGTTTTTAAAAAACTTATAGCAGACAAACTTGATAAAAAACTTGGGTTCCAAACAATACCCAATAAAGCCATATATTTGAAATTGTCTCTGAAGCACTATTGAGTAGGCCTATTTGTGAGCAGCTGTTGAGTGATTCCTAAAACATGCCAAAATTGCCTCTTCAACTATTTTGTACTTGAGTAGGTGATGCTGTTCATTTGACAATTCTAAGATCTTTTCCTTTTGCTGCTTTTTCTTTTTCTTCATATTTTCAACTTTTTGACGTCTTTTGATTTTTCTAAAAGACAGAGCTATAAATTTACCACAGACCTGCATGGACAATATCTCAGTCTCTCTTTCTCTTGCAGTGTCTATATTTTTTATTATGAACATTTATATTTAGAGCCTGGTTCGTCATCATAATCCCTTCAGTAAGTAATTGAACCTCAATAAGATTTTAAGGTCACCAGACATATTTTTAAAGTAAAACTTGTTCTTTAGCTTCCCTAATGCAGCAGAAAAAGAAGACAAATTTGGCATGGTTCAATTGGTTCATCCAGGAATTTTCAGATGTTCGATCTGGTCGAATGCAAACTCAGAGGAGACTAAAAGTCTATGAAACTTGGTGAAAACCAGCGAAGAAATTGACTAGAAACTGTCAGGAACAACGATCATACGTCGTCGTTTTAGTGAGTCTAGTTAAATGAAGCAGTTGCAAGAGAAACGGTGTCGCTTTACTATAAAATGTTAGTTAGTCGGTTGCATCAGGTTATAAATAAGGAGCTCTGTGATTGGTCAGGATATCTGATTGTAATAACAAATTTCTGTTACATTTCTCTCATTCTTGATTCTCTCTTTTCCCCTTTCCCTCCAATTTCCAAATCTGATTCACCGACCCTGACAAAGTGGTATCAGAGCTACCGATCCTTGGTAGCTCCTATGGCGGAAGGAACTGGCCTAAAATCCTTGGAGGAACACGTGAAGAAGCAGGAAGCAAGATTGCAAGAGGCTATGGAGGCATTTCACTTTTCTCAGCAGCAATTTCGAGCTGAATTTGGTAGTGAGGTTAGAGCAGAATTGGAGAATTCCAACATGAAGTTGGAGAAATTGGAGGCGGCGATGAGCGGATTAGAGCTGAAATTCAACTCCTTCCTACAGATGATGATGAACAGAGAAAAGAGCACTGCGGAGGAAGTGAGAGAAGGACCACTGCTACCTACTCCACCACCTCAACATAGGATCAACAAGGGAGGCGAAAGCAATGGTGACTTCAACCGAAGAGATGAAGGTAGGATCTATGCACCTCTTCCTCCTAGACTTGAGTTGCCTCTTTTTCATGGAGAAAATCCACAGGAATGGCTAAGAAAATGTAATAAGTATTTTCTGAACTATCATATTCCTGAGAATCAGAAGGTAGGGGTAATTGAGATGTTTTTTAGAAGGGAGGGCAGATAGATGGTTTCAAGGCCTTAAGATGGAACAGACAAGCCTAGGTTGGGCAGAATTTGAGGAATTTTTGTGCAAGAGGTTTGGTAACAAAATTTGTAAGGATATAGTGGAAGAATTTAACAAGATCCAGCAGGTTGGGAGTGTGGAGGAGTATCAAGAAAAGTTTGAGGAGCTCAAGCCATTAATGTTGATGAAAATCCCCAATTAGACGAAGGATAATTTGTGTCTAGCTTTATTAGTGGACTTAAAGAAGAAATTAAACCAATCATCAGAATGGTTAAGCCTACAGAGCTGTCTGCTGCCTATGAAATGGCTCAAGTACAGGAGTACTCCTTGCAGTTGCAGAATAGACAAGGAAGGGAAGTGCAGAAAAATCTAGTAGAAAATAAGTTCGGCTTGCATAAAAGTCAGCCTCCAAGTACCAACTCAGGCAATCTATATAGGATTCCCCCTGTTAACCAGCACAAGTTTTCCAATGCAAGAAGGACAGTTCCAGATAATAATTCCACTAGGAAAATTTCACCACAGGAAATTCAATACAGAAGGAACAATGGACTGTGTTTTAAGTGTGGAGAGAAGTATGGGGCAGGACATCAGTGTAAAATGGGACATCTAAACTTCTTCCTTGGGGATGAAGAAGAGGACACGGAATTTGAGGATGCAATGGGGGAACAAGATGAGCACACTGGTAATCCAGGAACTGTTATGGAAATGTCCTTACACACACTGTCAGAATCCCTCAAAAGAAACACTATCACAATCACAGGACATCTAGATGGAGAGGAGGTGCTAATCCTAGTGGATACATGGAGTTCTGACAGCTACATTGACAGTGAGTTGGTCATTGCTCTAGACATTTCTTACAGAATGGTTTCCCCCTTCTCTGTTATTGTGGGGAATGGAACATGTGTAACCAGCAAGGCCATCTGCCCAAGGGTCAGATGGGAAATCAATCAACATCAATTTGGTTTTGATTTGAAGGTGATGCAACTGAGTGGCTGGCATATTGTGCTAGGAGTGGATTGGATGACTCATTTTAGCCCCATCACGTTTGATTTTCATAACCTCAGGATCTCTATGGAGTATCAAGGGGAAACAGTTCACCTACAAGGGAGTTCAGAGGATTGTGAATTGGATTTAATCAGGGGTAAGGACCTTAGGCATTTCATAGAATATAAGAAGAGATGCTTTGCTATCAGAAACATGGAAGCAGAAATGGCCCCAGCAGGAGCCTCAGAAGGGACAAGAGAGGAGCAGCAGCCTCAGGAAATCAAAGATTTGCTAGAAGAATTTTCAGAAGTTTTTCAGCAGCTCGTGTCCTTACCACCTATCAGGACATGTGACCATGCAATTCCCTTGAAGTCAGGGGCTCAACCATTCAAGCTTAAGCCCTATAGATACCCCCATTCTCAGAAGGATGAAATTGAGAAGCAGGTTACAGTGATGTTACAACAGGGAATTGCAAGGCACAGCAACAGTCCATTTGCATCACCAGTTTTACTGGTTAAGAAGAAGGAAGGCTCTTGGCGATTCTATGTGGACTACAGGAAGCTGAATGAAATCACCATCAAAGATTGCTATCCCATTCCAAATGTGGACGAGCTGCTGAATGAGCTGGCTGGATCCAAGTATAAGTCTAAGCTGGACTTGACTGCAGGTTTCCATCAGATCAGGGTCAAACCTCAAGATGTGTACAAGACAGCATTTCAAACTCATTGTGGCCATTATGAGTTTTTAGTCATGCCTTTTGGGCTGACTAATGCTCTTGTAACTTTTCAGTCCTTAATGAACCAAGTTTTTCAACCTTATTTGAGAAAATTTGTTTTAGTCTTCTTCGATGACATCCTGACCTATAGTAAGACGTGGGAACTACACTTGCAGCACCTAAGGCTTGTTGACTGTGCTAAGGGAGAATCAGTTGTTTGCTAAAAGCTCAAAGTGTTCATTTGCACAGACTAGAGTGGATTATTTGGGACATACCATCTCAGAGAAAAGAGTTAGCATGGATTCTTCCAAGGTGAGCAGTATGCTGACCTGGCCTACACCCAAATCAGTGAAGGAGTTAAGAGGATTTCTTGGACTCACAGGGTACTACAGACGATTCATTAAAGGTTATGGGATCCTGTGTAGACCACTGACTGAACTACTGAGGAAGGATGCATTTTTTTGGACTGACACAACTCAGGAGGCCTTTGACTTGCTCAAAAGAGTCATGACCACAGCTCCAGTACTCAGGTTGCCTGACTTTAAGCAGCCATTTGTGGTAGAAACTGATGCGGGTGGAGGAGGGGAATTCGAGCTGTGCTTATGCAGGAGGGACATCCTATTGCATTTCTCAGTAAATCATTGAGTCCAAAGAATTTAGGGCTGTCTGCCTATGAAAAAGAATTGCTGGCATTAGTAATGGCGGTAACAAAATGGAGACACTACCTAGTAGGCTACCACTTCATCATCAGGACTGGCCATCAATCTCTAAAATACTTACTGGATCAGAAGTTGACAACAGCGATACAGCACAAATGGTTAACCAAGCTTCTGGGACTGGATTATGAAATTCAGTACAAAAGGGGCAGTGAGAATTTGGTAGCTGATGCACTTTCTGGGAGAGCTGCAATGGAAGGTAGGAAGAAGAACGAGGCAGGCACTTGCCTGGCTTTAACTACTGTTAAACCAGTGTGGATGACAGAAATAGTCAAAAGCTATGAGCATGACTCTCACTGTCAAGAGTTAATTGCCAAGATGATATTGGAACCTGAATTTCCAGACCAGTATCAACTAAGTGATGGCATCATCAGGTACAGAGGGAAGCTCTATGTGGGGTCAAGTAATGGAGTCAGGGAGCAAATCATGGAAGCGTTGCACTCTTCTTCCATTGGAGGCCATTCAGGGCAGAGAGTGAGTTGGCACAGGATCAGTAGTATATTTTATTGGCCTGAATTGAAACAGGATGTTAGGAGATTTGTGCAGGCATGTGATAACTGTCAGAGGAATAAGGCTGAGCACATTCAGCATCCGGGACTTCTACAACCTCTTCCTATACCCAGTCAAGCGTGGACACACATCTCTATGGACTTCATAGAGAAACTACCACCCTCACAAAACTTTGATACTATTCTGGTGGTTGTGGATCGATTCACCAAGTACAGTCACTTCTTGTTGCTGGTTCATCCCTTTTTAGCCAGGCAGGTGGCACAAGTTTTCATTGATCAGGTGTATAAGCTTCATGGATTGCCTGAAACTATAGTTACAGATAGAGACAAAATCTTTACTAGCCACTTCTGGAGGAAGTTATTTCGATTGGTGGGGGTGAAATTGTGTTACAGTTCTGCATACCATCCAGAGACAGACGGTCAAACTGAAAGAGTTAACCAGTGTGTAGAAGCTTATTTGAGGTGCATGACTGGAGAATTTCCCAGTCAGTGGAGTAAGTGGCTTCCCCTGGCTGAATGGTGGTACAATTCTGCTTATCACTCAAGCTTGAATGTGACTTCCTTTGAAGCCCTCTATGGCTACAAGGCATTACCCTTACCAATGGGTCCCTACTGTGACTCTACCATTCCTGCAGCAGCTCAAGCACTCCAGGACAGGATGAGGATCTCAGCCAGTATCAAGGAGCATCTGCTCAAGGCTCAGCAACGAACGAAATATTTTACAGACAGGCATAGAACCGAGAGGAGTTTCGAAGTTGGGGATTTAGTGTTTCTCAAGCTGCAACCAAATAGGCAGCAAACCATGGCCATTCGAAAGAACCTCAAGCTGTCAGCAAAATTCTATGGGCCTTTTGAAGTGGAAGAGAAGATAGGAGAGGTCGCTTATAAGCTCAAATTACCCCCTGCAGCTAGAATACACCCAGTGTTCCATGTTTCTCTATTGAAGAAGAGAATTGGTCCACCACAGCAGGTCTCCACTACCTTGCCAGAGTTCGATTTGCAGGATCAATGCCTCTTGATGCCAGAAATGATTCTGAAGAGACGAGCTATTCTGAGGAAGGGCTGCCTGTGGTACAATATCTGATCAAATGGCAACAATTGGAGTATGAGGAAGCATCCTGGGAAGATAAGGATTTCATGGAGCAACAATTTCCTGAATTCAAGACTTGCGGACAAGTCTAAACTGAAGGAGGAGGCAATGTCAAGAACAACGATCATACGTCGTCGTTTTAGTGAGTCTAGTTAAATGAAGCAGTTGCAAGAGAAACGGTGTCGCTTTACTATAAAATGTTAGTTAGTCGGTTGCATTAGGTTATAAATAAGGAGCTCTGTGATTGGTAAGGATATCTGATTGTAATAACAAATTTCTGTTACATTTCTCTCTTTCTCTCATTCTTGATTCTCTCTCTTTTCCCATTTCCCTCCAATTTCCAAATCTGATTCACCGACCCTGACAGAAACCAGACTAGTTTGACCGAGGTTTTCTATTGGTGCTCTCGATTATATTTGTTCTCTTTTGATGGAGCCCTTGATTTATTTGACTTCTTTTTGTGTTTCTTTTGCATACTAGTTGTTTGTCAGGGGGTCTGGAACTAAGGCATGGGCAAAAAGAGTGATAGACTGGTGTTTGCAAGGCTTCTGGAAATAGATCTAAGGCTTTCATTAGTCCAATCTATGGGATTTATTCATAATTTGGGCACTAACATTTTGATTCCCCCACTAGGGTTATCTCTATTTATACAGCCCAAACCAAAGGCATATCCCGGACTCCATTTTCTTATTGCCTGATATCTGTTCCTTTTGATGCTTTCCTCGCCCACCTTCCTTTCCGCCTTCTGCCTCTCCTGTTCTTGCTCTGTCTTTTCCCTCCTATAGGAACATGTTGATTGCTGGTGGCCATCCACAGTTTTCTTGATTGAAAGATAGGTTTATAAATTTGGCATACTGAATTTGGCCTCTTGAAATTGTTTTAATTTGTTTTAGAGTTTTTGCTTGAAAATCAGAAAAGGCATCAGGGGTTATGGTTGAGTTTGGGCTTTTGTTAGCTGCTAGAGAATTTTCAATATGTTATGTCAAATCAAATTTCAGCTCTTTTGGTTTCCTGATCATAGAAGCTATTCTTCAATTGAACTATTGTGTTCTCTCATTATTAACCTTTTTATTGTTTGGGCCTAATGAAGATGGGATGAGAAACTGACAGAGTGGTGATACCATGCGTTAATGGATAGATTAGGTAATAGGTCATGCATCAGTAACAGTTCAGGCAACAAATCAAAGATCAAGGGTAGTTCAGCCATAGAGTTGCTATCATATAGAGAAATGCTATCTAGGCTCTCACTCTTTTTGTTTTTTTCCTTTTTAATAGATTAAGGTAAAACATAGAGAAATGCAGAAATATGGAAGAGATGCAGAACATAACCACACAATAGGATGCACTTGGGCAATGTAATGTTATTTCTGCAAAATTTTTTTAAACACTCACCATCTATTATCTTGAATGAACCTATCAAGTCCAATCATGTAATTGGAAACAAAGAGGTAATAATCTCTATAGAATTTTCTATTCAGTTAGTATCAGTGAATATTTCACGCTTGCAGAAATAAAGGACAGATGGTTGACATGCGTGCTAACATCAGAATTCTCTCTTTCTGAGCTTGTTCCTTTCTCTCTCCATAGAATTTTCTATCTCGGGGTTGTTCCCAGCTATACCTTTATCAGAATCCAATTCCTTTTTTTTTTTTTTTTGTCTGTTTTTCAATCTACGTGACTTAGCATGTGAATCTTATTTTGCCGAAGCAAGCTAAGTATTTTAACTCTTTCTATTTTGTTTGAAGCTCCTTTATGGTTTCAAATACTTACCCTGAGAATCTAGACGTTGCTATGTCAGAATATTCTGTGTGAGAATGACATTTTAGCTGTTGCTGTAAATCATTGTGTAATGTGTCATCCAATGAGTAGTTTTTCTAACCAGTCATAGAGAAATTGGAAAAAGAAAACGTCTTTTGATACATTGATTTTGCCAAGAAAGCTTCTGCCCGTATTAATTTTGTTTTGCATGGATTCAATCCAGATTTGATTTCCTTAACTCAGGACTTCTATCTTGACAATGTTGTCAGCTGAAAGCACTAAGATTTTCTTTGACTTGCTGAAGACAAGTGCACAGTCCATGTCAATCCCCGACATTGACCAAGTTTTGGAGGAAGTATTACTGAAGCTGCCAGTCGATGTTCTACTCACTTTCAAATGTGTATCCAAGCAATGGCTCTCTATCATCTCCCATCCAGCATTTGGCTATCTACATTTCCGAGGCAACCCTGGCATGTATTTCGTTGCTGGCTTCCTTTTCTATCATTTGTCTGAGCCTCGTAATCCCAGAAGTGCCTTCATTTACCTTGAAGGTTACAAAAAGCATATCCATTGCGCTCGTTGAATTTTATTGGTGCAAATCCTGACATACACAGAATATGGTCTTGCAATGGCTTGCTGTGTTTATGCGTTTTTACTGGTGGGAAGTACTGTTGTTGTGAATAGTACATTTGTAACCCCACCACAAATAAATCTATCAAACTGCCTGATCTGAGAGTCCTCTGGCATCAAGAATATTGTCCTCTGGCATCAAGAATATTGTCCATGACTATAGCATTTGATCCTTACGTGTCGCAGTACTATAAAGCTGTTTGTGTTTCAATTGTCGGAATGCAATATCGCTTCTCTATCTACTCATCTGAAACCAAAATCTGGAGAGAAGCTGGTAATGCTTTGGACATAACCAATGAGGATCATTATCTTAAAAGAGGTGTTTTCTGTAATAATTCTGTGCATTGGATTAGCAAGTTGGGGCCTTTTTTGCATTTTGATACGGATAAAGAGTGCGTTCAAATGATGCCGGCAACTCCAATACATATGGGAAAGTGAAAAAAGGTTGATTCTGCACTTTCGGTCTTCAAAGGGGCACCTGCATCTGATTGAATTGCGGAGGTCAAACACTGCTTTGGCATACTTCTTGGAGATGAAGAGGGACTACTAAGAATGGGTTCTTCTGAGGTACAGTGTTAATTTTAGTCAGTTAACTAGAATACGCACTGCTTTGGATTTCTGTCGTATGAACTGCATACGGTATTATTTTCCGCTGGAGAATGAACCTCACAGATTCTGCCTCGTAATATCGACTGCTCACGCGACTGGTGCAACTCTCTCATAATTCAAAACATTTTGATAGGGTAAGGTCTCCTTGTGAACCTGACCAGGGTTTCATGAATCATGACACAATTCAAGTGGTACAGATGCGACCCTCATATCATGACCCTCACAGCTGTTTGATCGATGCCGGCAAAAGTAAAGCTATCAGAAGTTTATTTAGTGAAGGATCTTGCAATTCATGTATTATGTCAAACCTGACATTCACCTTTCCTGGTTCCAAAGATAAGATTATACAGGTGCTATGTGTATCGATTGAACTCTACATGCAAACATTGATTAATCCATACTCCTTTTTTGGGATATGTTTAAGTTTTGTTCTAGTAAATTCTGTAAATCTCTCAATAGGTACATCTTTACGACTAGGATGATCAGCTAGTTTGGGACAGGAACTTGAGATGCAAACAGGTACTATCTCATGAAAAGAGATGCATGATTTAGAAGGAAATGGTCTGAGCAAGATGCTGAACATGGTTTATGGTTTCGATCTTACTTTCCGTCGGTATATATAGTATATCAGTCAATATATCAGGAATTGGAATAGATTTCTGCAGTATCTTCGATTGAACTCAGCTGCAGGATTTCTTGAAGTTGAATTTCAGGTATAGTTTTCCAAAATAAAACCAATCAAAGTTTTACAAAGTGAAGAGATGGAAGTAGCTTTTGGTCCCAAGTTTAGGGAACCAACCTCAGATGGGCATGCACAACCCCACCACATACTACTGTTTTTGCATGGAGTCTTGGGAGTTGCTCCAACTTAAAATTGATCAAGGAATAAGATCAAAGTACATGAAAAGGCAGCATCATTTTCATTTCCAGTGTCTCTTGGCCTAAACCAGTTACCACATTTTACGAGATTTCTATCATTTTCAATTGAAAGCCATGTGCAGAATAAATCAACTCAAACTGGAAATGAATTGCGTCTTGGCATGGACTTTGTTCAAGCGGAGTTAGAAAAGTATCATTTACTCCTTCATTGCCTGCGTAAACTTATGTACAAAAATCAGTTTGGCAATCTTTTTTGGATCACAGTCAACTTGCCTGGTAAAGTGAGTTTAGCAAGTTGAGTCAGCTCATGCTTGCAGTTCCATATCAACTTTCAATGGTCTTGGTTTTTTTTTTCTCCTCTTTTCTTTTTTGATTAAAGTATTAGATTATTTTGTAATTTTATTGGCATTGATTAACTTTGTTTTTTCAAAAATACAAGGCTAAATAAGAATTGATAAAGCCCACCACCATAATAATACTACTATATATGATCCACCGCGGCCTAGATTTGTCTCAACCACATTTTGGGTACAAATTTTTCCCGATTAATTATTTGGTGTGATATGCAAGTATGTGCTTGATTTTCTCATATTGGGATTTTTAAAACCCCAGCAAGTAGAACATTGTTCTTTTTGGATTTTGGTTGTATTCATTGGTCTGTACCTTTTTCTTCAGACTGAGCGGCTAATTTTTTGTCATCCTCTTGTTGGATAATTGGCTACAACAATGTTAACACTATCTGCTTGAGTCGTGCGTAGCACTGTCCTAAGAAACTATTTCATGAAATTGAAATGTTTCCCCAGGATTAAACAAGCCTTCTTCTATTTATTGCGAACAAGAAAGACAAACTTTCTTCTTGTTGCAAACTAGAAGGACCAGAACTAGCAAATTAAAACCAGCAGATATATATATAAAAAGGATGAGAACAGAATTATCAGGAAGATATCAACTAACAAAAAAAAAATAAAAGAGAGAGAGAGAGAGGGATAGAGCAGCTATCAAAAGATATTAACTGAAGCTGCTGGGGTGATTTTCTGAGGGAGAAGTGGATCCTATTTATAGACTTCAGAGTGAGGTGCAACCCTTCTCACTTCCGATGTGGGACAAAGACTGCAACCCTTCTCACTTCTCAATGTGGGACAGAGAAAATAATACTTCTCATTTTTTCGATGTGGGACAAAGAATATTTTTGAAATACTATATATTTTACAACAATCTCCCACCTATTTCAAAAAAATTCTTTGAATAAAGGAAGAATTTTAAAAGTACTCTGCTGGATTTGGTTGAAATGTAATTAGATTGGTGTCTTTTGGACTATGAACCAAACATAGATTGATAAAATATGATCTACAGAATTATTGGTGAAATATAAATTTCTATGAACCAATAACTCTTGATGTATGACAGAGATTTTATCAATCACATTACAACCCATAATTTGCTGTTAACGCGATTTTGCGCTTTTTGGCCGTGCGCCTGCCTGGTTATTCATGAGAGCTCTAAAGATTTGACCAATGACTCTTATAGGAGCGGCCCCACTCCACTCTCATATAGGTGAATTCATCAAGTGTATATTGCTTTAACTACACCTCCCTAATGGGATATGAATTCATTAAGAGTTTTAACTCATCCTCACAATTACTCAAAGCACTTATCTCTAGAGAGACTTAAATTGAAGTGCTTTACCATCAATATTGACTTGTTATTACCCATATGAACCTACTTCATGGGATCACCAATCACATAGGTTGGGTTACTGTCTCTATTGACAACTTGTTGGTCGAAGTCCCATTTCTTTTGTAGTTTGAAGAATCAATTTTCTTCCTACGGGTTTAGTCAGAGGATCGGCCAAATTCAACTCTGACTTTACATAATCAATGGAAATAATTCCATCTCTAAGCAGCTGCTTTACGACATCATGTCTCAATCTCATGTGTCGACTTTTACAATTATACGATTTATTTTTAGCTATGGCAATCGCTGCTTGACAGTCACAATGTATGGACACAGGAGGCAACAAATCCTTAGTTGAAGGAATATTAGCTAAGAAATTTCTCAACCACTCGGCCTCAGTCCCTGTCAGTTCCAGAGCTACAAACTCTGACTCCATTGTTGATCTAGCAATGATTGTCTGTCTAGCAGATTTCCATGCTATTGCACCACCACCAAGGGTGAACACATAACCACTAGTGGATTTCGTATCATTTGAATCAGAGATCCAATTAGCATCACTGTAACCTTCTAATACAGTGGGAAATCCACTATACAGGATACCAAAATTCATGGTACCTCTCAAATATTTCATTAGTCTGACTAATGCAAACCAATGCTCACGGTTGGGATTATGAGTATATCTACTCAGTCGACATACAGCATAAGCTATATCAGGTCTAGTAAAATTCATCAGATGCATCAGACTCCCAATAATCTGAGCATATCTAGACTGAGCAATTGGGTCACCATTATTTTTCTTTAATTGAGTGTTAGCATCATAAGGAGTACTCACAGGTGTCACATCATAATTTTCAAACTTCCTAAGAAGTCTTTCTGTATAATGTTCTTGTGACAACATTATACCATCACATTTCCTTATGATTTTAACACCCAATATTATTTTGGCTTCACCCAAATCTTTCATATCAAAATTAGAAGACAAAAAATATTTAGTACTATTTACAATATCTAGACTAGTACCAAATATAAGCATGTCATCCACATATAAACTGATTATCACATATTGATCATTTATAATTTTGACATATACACATTTATCCACTTCTACAGACGAGAAACCATCTTTCATCAATACTTGATCAAATTTCTCATGCCACTGTTTAGGAGCTTGTTTTAGGCCATAAAGAGATTTAATTAGTTTACAAACCTTATTTTCTTGTCCAGATACAATACATCCCTCAGGTTGAAACATATAAATTTTTTTCTAAATCACCATTTAAAAAGGCTGTTTTGACATCCATTTGATGAATAACAAGTTTATGGATAGAAGCTAAAGCAAATAAAACTCGAATAGACGCAATTCTAGTTACTGGTGCAAATGTATCAAAATAATCAATATTTTATTTTTGAGAAAATCCTTTTGCTACTAAACGAGCTTTGTACTTTTCTATAGAGCCATCAGAGTTATATTTTCTTTTAAAAATCCATTTGCAACCAATAGGTTTTGCACCAGGAGGTAAGTCTACCAAAATCCAAGTTTTATTTGACAAGATAGAATCTATTTCAGATTTAATTGCTTCTTTCCAAAATTTACACTCAGGAGAAGAAATAGCATCGGAGTATGTTAAAGGATCATTATCAACAAGAAAGGTTTGGAATTCATTTCCAAATGAAAATTCTTTTCTTGGCCTTTTGCTCCTTCTTAATTCCTCAATTGGAATAATTTCCTTATTTATTTCAACAGGTGCATGAGAAATTTTACTAGACAGTGGAAAAATATGTTCAAAAAATTCAGCATTCTTTGTCTCAATAATTGTATTACAATCAAGTATATCACTTCTTAACACAAGAAATCTATATGCAGCACTATGTTCAGCATATCCAATAAACATACAATCAGAAGTTTTAGAACCTATTTTCCTTTTCTTAGGTTCAGGCAACAAGACTTTAGCAAGACACCCCCAAACTTTTAAATATTTCAAATTTGGTTTATAATTTTTCCATAACTCATAAGGTGTTTTGCCAGTCTTTTTATGTGGGATTCTATTTTGTAAGTGACATGCAGATAATATAGCTTCTCCCCATAAATTATCTGGAGCATGAGAACTAATTAACATAGAGTTCATCATTTCTTTTAATGTTCTATTTTTCCTTTCAGCTACTCCATTAGATTCTGGAGAATAAGGTGGAGTTATTTCATGTATTATGTCTTCCTGTTCACAAAGGTTATCTAAAGTTAAATATTCTCCACCCCTATCTGATCTAATTCTTTTTAT